GAGTGGAATCCTAGTGAGAAATGACCTGTTGAGCATCCGAGGATGATACATGAAGGAGATCATGTGACTAGGATTCAACGTAGAACTTTGCACAGGTGTCCACCAGTTCCACTAGCCACACACCCTCCTTGTAGCACACAAAGCACGAGAAGAGAATAAACAGAAATGCAAGTGAGGGAAAAAGAATAGTAATATGGAAGAACAATAGAATTTTATGGGATATCACAAGGAGTGGATGCATCGGCGCCAGTCACTAAGAACGATAATTTTGAGCCATATGACCAATTGTCTTCAGCCACTATTGGTTCTTAACATCCTGAGGACCCAACTAGGAAACTAGCCTACATCTCCCTAGTGGGAGCAGTCAAAAAAGACAGCAGAGGACAGAGTAAAGTAGATATGCACTGTTGAAGGAATAATAACAATATTCATATAAGTACATCATCTTGTGGATACAGAACACACGATGGATGTTAACTAGGCAGCTTTCAAAGCTATCTACCACATACCGACAAATCTTAACTTCGTCTTGAGAGTTCGTTTACTAAATATTACTGAGGCTGGCCGTTGGGATCCACATTAAGAAGCCTAATTTATGTGTCCAAAAGAAGCTAGTTCAGACATTCGGTCTGGTCTGGATTCAACATAGAACTTGGCACTGAAGTGCAGCAGTTCCAGTTGCCACGTTCCAAATACCACACAAAGGTAGACAAGAAAATGAGTGAAGAGAATCAATAGAGTTTTGACAAGTATAAGAGTGAAACAGAGTGAGTAATGGTAGAAAGGAATGTGAAAGATTACAGAGACTGAATACATCTGCGTAAGCCACTGACAAGGATTTTGAGCCATGTCACCTATTGTCTCCAGTAATTGATTCTTAGAGTCCCGAGGGCGGGCCCCAACCCGGAAGTCTGCATCTCCCTCCCTACCTGACTCAGTTTAACTGTCAAGGATTTCATGGATTGATGAGGCCATGTTTTTGTTTGGCCACCACTTACTCTTTTCCAACCTGCACCTACCTATATCAGCTAGTAATGCCCGTCCGTCGGGGGAGGCGATGGTTAGGCATGCGCAGCACGTGACCTAGCCATCTCAATCTATGTAACTTTATAGCCTCGTCGATTGATTTTTCCTCTTTGCCCAACACTCTACGCCTAACGTCAACATTATCCTTACCTTGACCATCTAGGTTTAAATGATCCTCAAGTTTTTGTAGAAATTTCCTTAATTTTAGTTGATATTCTATTTGCTATTATTATTATTATTTAAGCATCTTTAATGAACCATAATTCCACTGTGATCTTACTTTGCAAATCGATATTATTTAAAAAACACACTAATATTGTTATTGACTACTATTCTAGAATATTCTATGTATATAAACATATGTATATATAATTGTAGAGCCAGAAGAGGAAATTATCGAAAAGGATATTCTTTGCTCAATTATTTTTGTGTTTTATAAACACAAAATGATCACTTTCGTTTCTAATACACATTTCTTTGTTCTTCTGAACCAGAAGGCAACTCATCCGCTTAAATTGCAAACAGGTTGTGTGTGCCAATCGGAAAAAGTTCTATCAAAATTTATGAATTAATTAAGTACTATTTAGTTTTTCACGATGTGCGTCGGTGGCACAGCGGCAGAATGCTCGCCAACCACGCCTCATTTGGTCCGGGGTTCGACCCCCGGCCACTGACGCACTCCTTTACCTTTCCAAGCCAGTGATTAAACTGGTAAAGAGGGAAGGTTGGAGGGGGTATGAGGCTAGCAATCCCATCCCGTAAAAACAAATAAACACCACTGCTAGAGAAACTTTAGGCCTCTAACTTGAAGCCCCCTGTGTTCCACTGGGGGGGGGGCGTAAAGGAATAAAAAAAAAGTTTTTCAAGATAAACAACAAACAATGCACCACACAATGAAAGTCATGCTTCCCACTTACTCAGATTATTCAATGACGCGCATACCGATACTGAATTTACTATGGAACATGAAAGTTATGGAAAGTTCCAATTCCTCGGTATTGCCAAGCAACACCTAGAAGATGGTAGTCATCAGAAGTCAATTTACCGAAAGCTGACATGGAATGGATAATACTTACATTTTAATAGTTTTTGTCCAAATAGCTAACTATAAACGAGCACTAGTCAAGACTCTATACTATAGAGATAAGAGATTATGCTCTATAGAGAAATTAGACGAAGAATTTATGTCTCTCGAAAAGATGTTGAAAAGCAATGGTTACCCTCAAAGATTCATTAACCAGTACAGAAGACCTGAAGTCTCAAATGTCAAACAAATCACAGTGGAGAAAAAGCCCATCTTCATTCAACTTGATTATAAAAGTGAAAATATTACAGTAATTGTCAACAGAAGATTGAGGACGTCACTAGGCAGAGCCTATCTTGCAGCTAAGCTCATTCCTGTCTATCGAACAACATGCTCTTTGGTGCAATCAAAAATCGACAGATATCCTGTTAATTCATGTTAACTCCAACTGTGTGTATGCAAATTTACATGTATCTGTGGGAGCAGTTACATTGGGAGAACAGAAAGAAGAAGGGCATACCTCCGACTTTCTGAACATGTACCAAAAAGCTTATGTCTAAAGGGAACAAATGCTTCAAACAGTGCCATCGCCAGGCACCTCCTTGATACGGGTCATGCATGGGGTGGACGTCGCGAGATCATTCAAAATCATCAATAGGCGAAAGAGTTCAATTCTCCTGAAGCTTACCGAAGTAATCTCCATCAATCTCCTAAAACCCGATTTATGCATTCAGAAAGAAGCAGTTATCAGTCATTCCTTGCCCTGGTAACTGATCACGTAATGTCGGAAACTTCCATTGTGTATGATCATTATTTTTGCTTGGGATAAAGTGTTTATCATTATACATATTATTATTGTATGCATATATTGATTGATTGATTTTTGTTTAAAAATTAATGCGTGCAAGTATGTTAAAAATCCTAGCTGAATTTTCCCTCGCTAAATTAGAGAATGGACCGCTGAAAGGAGTAATTAATGACATGGATTTCTACTGTCGATATATGGATGATACATTTCTGGTTATGAAAAACGAGAATGATGCAATGAACATCCTTGACAAGTTTAATGATGCACATTCAGCAATAAACTTTACCATAGAGAAAGAAAGTAATGACAGTATCTCATTCCTAGACGTCTTCATGGCAAGGAAAAAAGATGGCACACTAAGAAGGAGCGTCTATAGGAAACCTAGAACAACAACTGGTCAGTACACTCATTTTTTGAGTTTTGTACCTTTGAAATATAAATGTAACCTGGTAAAGTGTCTGGTTCATAGAGCTAGTTTAATCTGTTCAGATGACTGCCTCAATGAGAAGCTTAAGATTATTAGGGAATTACTTTGAAAAAAAATGGTTATCCAGATAAATTCATTGAGAAAAACATGAATTCAGCACCAAGGAGAGTCAGTATGGCTACAGTTCCGAAAAAACTAATGTTCATAAAATTGCAATTCCTCGGTGACAACATCAGCAAAAAAATAACACAGAGCCTGAAGAATGCACTTAAAAGAGCTTATTATGCAGCAGAAGTACGTTATCTCTTCACAACCACCCCTATTCAATGTTCGTGAAATAAGGAACAACTACCTAAATTTGCCTCTTCTATGTATATCTACCAGTTTGACTGCAGCTGCGGAGCCAGCTACATTGGGCGTACAACTAGGCAGGTTCATCATCGCATTTCCGAACATCATCCAACATGGTTAAGCAAGGGACAAACAAGATCTATTCGTAGCTCTATTTTGAGCACACCTCGTTGATACTGAGCATAAGGTTGATGTGAATACTGCATTTAAAATTATCTATCGCATTCCTACTAATCTTAATTTTGCTCTACGAGTTCGTCTTCTACATACAGCTGAAACAATAGGAATCCACCTGAAGAAGGCAAACCTGTATGTTCAGAAGAAATTTGTACAGCCACTTTCCTTACTTTGGCCATCGTTACATGAATGTATAAACCGGACTACTTCGCCCCCCTCCCACTAAATCTTTAAAAATTATAATTGTCCAAATTATTATAATAAAGGTTTTTGTATTTCCCAATGAATGAAAAACAAAACGATATTGTTTTTACTGACGTTTCGCTATTTAATGCTAATAGCTTTATCAAAGTATTATTAAACCGGAATTTACAAAATCTCAGCATATATATAACAAACAGTTAGGGGGTGAGAAAATAAACATAGGTCAAGTTAAAGGGACATATTGAAAGTGAAAATAGCGATGAAGATATTTTCTCACCCCCTAACTGTTTGTTATATATATGCTGAGATTTTGTAAATTCCGGTTTAATAATACTTTGATAAAGCTATTAGCATTAAATAGCGAAACGTCAGTAAAAACAATATCGTTTTGTTTTTCATTCATTGGGAAATACAAAAACCTTTATTATAATGAATATCATATACCCAATGCCCAAATTTTTTCAAACCGTTAAAAGTCAACTTGGTTTGGACATATATAATTGTCCAAATTAGTTTATTTTTTCTGACCACTTCATCTTTAATTACGTGTTATCCTTGTAAAATTAATTTATTCTAACCATTTCTACCTTTTAATTGTGTGTATTAATTTTCTTCGTTAATTATCACCCCACTGTTTGACATGTTGACACTGACTAATTATTGTTAACAAAAATATCGCCACTTGTTTGGTAAACTGTTGTGTATTGTAATAAAAATGCTGTCTGTGTATGTTAGAGTAGGGCCAGAGATGATGATCTAATTGAAAAGTAAATATTTCTTCGCTCAATCTTTCTATTTTCTAAAATTGTTTCTGTAGACATACTTAATAGTGTCTTTGATCTGTAAGCAGCTGATGAGAAGCCAACGAAATAAACAATGTCTGATGACACCATTTTATTTCTACAAAATCAGCTGTTGTTTTTGCTTTATTCAAAAAAAAAAAAAATAATAGTAATAATAATTAAAATAGCAGCAAGACATACCTCTAAATAATTGCAGGAATGCATCACTTTACGAATTGCTTGTTTAATACGTGCACGCATTCTAAGCATTGCAGAGAATTCTGGTAGCCTGTGCCGTTTAGATAATCCTTCAATTGAGCGTAGAACGCCTAAATCAGGTCGTGGACTATGCCGACCAACTGAACTTATCCCCTGATTTACTTCTGTAGTAGCAGCAGGAGTAGTAGTGGTAGAAGAAGACGAAGAGGAGGTGGAGGATGAGAGATCTGGAGATTCATGACGGTGTTGACAAATAGAAGATGAGTGATCATTCTCAGACGATTTTGTGACATTGTCAAGAATAGTCACAGTTTTAGCGTGTAATTCACCCCAGCATTGAATATTAGTTTTAGTGCCAATTGATTTGGATTTACGGGAATTATTTGGAATAGTGTGTATGTCGCCTTCAACGGATACAGCACAACCGATATTGATGTTTTCAGTAATTTGACTAGGCGTCATTACAACCTGAAATATCAAATATAAATATATACACAAAGATGATGCAAATGATACGCATACAAAGACTTGAATGCTCAACGAACACAAGATAAAGACACCTACCTATTCAATAGAAGTTCTGTCAGCCTATTTCGTGAAGTATTAATTCGATTGAATTCTCAACACCTATCACACATTTACATACCAGGCCCTAAGATACACTTGATTGTATAAGAGGCTGTAGTACCACTGGAGTTGAACAAGGGGTATACAGCATGGAGGCGGAGTATTTTAAATACCAAATCAAACTAATTTTACTCTTCCATATTAGTTTGTTTATTAGATGTATCACACAGTCAAAGAAAAGGTATTATTATTTACTGGATGACAAAGTTTCGAACAAAATTCATCATTGTTCATAATCATTTTATCAATTATAATCACACAACTTCGAAACTTGATTTTTATAGTTTTCTTTATTCTCTCCTATTTGTCATAGTTGGGGTAGTAGAATTTTCCAGATATCTGGGTGGACAGGTGTTGAATCATTCCTATTACACGTATTTACTCTCAGTTGATTCGATAAACAAAGCCTCTGTTATCAATCTCTCCCTCCATTCTGTTATATTAGATTAGATTTTGAAACTGTCATCTTATCCCATCCAGGCTATTGTATGGTTGTGTATAATTGCATGTAGTGAGTGGTATAGCTGAACTATTCTCTAGATTTCTTATCTTATTCGGTCAACTAATCTAGATTTCGCTAGGTTTCTATGCTCGGCTAGTCTGACTGACTGACCCTGTTCTACTACTTTCACCTATGTGCTTGATCTGACAATCATTCCAGCAGGGTATTAGATAAACTAAATTGTTTTTTTTAAAGGCTCTACAGGAACCTTGAACCGACAAAGGAATGATTCAACACCTGTCCACCAAGATATCTGGAAAATTCTACTACCCCAACGACGACATATAGGAGAGAACAAAGAAAACTATAAAACTCAAGTTTCGAAGTCGTGTGATTATAATTGATGAAATGATTATGAACAACGAACAAATTTTGTTCTAAACTTTGTCATCCAGTAAAAAATACTTTCATTGTGTGCTATATCTAATACACAAACTAATATGGAATTACTTACTACCACAGTGCCAAAGTTTTACACATACATTAATGGTACTCTTCGACAGATTCTGGAACGTAAGCATACTTACCGGTGTCGAACACTTGCCATATCTCTTGACCTGAAGGTGGCATTGGACTCGGTTGACTGAGAGGTGCTGTGATAACGTTTCTAGTAAAAAGAGTGCCGAGGAAATACATCATTAAGCGAACTCATTTAGCCATGTAAGAGTTTAACGGAGAGTTGGCATTTCACACGGGAGATAGAACACAGGCACCTATGATCAAAGATAACTAGCTGGCCTCTTCATGTCTTCCACTCTCAATGGCCATGTCTCATCGACAGCAATAAAGGAGGACAGAGGGGAACTGCTACGCTGAGCAGTACACACGTCCTTTAGTCGACAGCCAACCGGATATCACGTCTACTAAGCTAGAGATGGGGTAAGTTGACTGAGAAACGCCAAACGAGCCTTCTATATCCGTGGTGAGATTTCGTCAGCGATCAACTGCGGTGGCGTTGGCTGATGCAACTTCCCAAATAACAAGTGAAGTGGTCAACACACTCCATCAACCACTTCACTCCCGCCGATCTTTAAAAGATGGGAGTGAGTCAGTGTAGTCCAATCCTGTAGCCTCATCATCTTACATTTAACAGTAGGAGCGAATCAAATGCCAAACATTCAAAGATTGATTGCCAAGATCATTGACTGCCAAGAAAATAACCTATAAAAAGAGGAGATGCTTCGCTACTGCAAATACAAAAAAGTGTTCTCAGATCTACACACAAGAAAAGTAACATGATTGGAACACGTAGACGTAAATAAAAGCAACATGATTTTGAAAAGAAACACAATAAAACAAAAAACGTGACTTACAACCCCCCCCCCTCGCCAAAAAAAGTAGTATTAAAACTAATACAGACAAAAGGTCAGTCAATATGTCTGCATGCATAGTTTGACCTAAATCATTCACCATTTTTCTCTCTCTCTCTGAGATAAAGTGATAAAGGTTAAAAAACTAAGCAGGCACTAACTAAATGTAATCTAACCTTTGACAAAATACATAAAAGAAAAAAAAACTGTTAGAATATTGATTTAATGCGTTTGTGAAAATTTCAATTTTCGGTAAACTTTAATTATGTGAAAGATATTTTAGTATAATTCGATGTTCAAGAGTTGATTTGTAAGGATTTCATGTGTTTTTCGAGTTTGATCACGGATTGGTATCAGTTGGAGAACTCACGTCGGGGAATTGTCATCTGAATTGATAATAAACAGTGGTGTCCGTCAAGGATGTCCACTTCCCCATTTCTGTTTACCTTCATCATATATTTGCTAATGAAAGTATCCTTAACTGAACTTAACGACTTAGGAATCGACTTGTTACTAGGGAATAGTCTTATGGACTTAGAATATGCAGATGACATAGTCCTGTTAGGGGAGGATGCTGACAAAATGCAGAATCTTCTGAACACCTTGAGCAGCAATCTTCGTATGTTTGGCATGCGATTCGCCCCTGTAAAATGTAAGATGCTGCTACAGGACTGACTGGACTACGTCAACTCCTAGCTTAGTGATAGGGAGTGAAGTGATAGAACATGTTGACCACTTCACCTATTTGGGAAGTTGATTCAGCACCAACGGACTGATTGGCGACGAAATCTCAGCACGGATTCAAAAAGCTCGGGCTGCTTTCGCTAACTTACACCGTCTCTGGCGTAGACGTGACATCCGGCTATCAACCAAGGGACGTGTGTACTGCTCATCAGTTCGCTCCGTCCTTCTCTATGGTGGTGAGACGTGGCCATCGAGAGCGGAAGACATGAAAAGGTTGACTGTTTTTGATCATAGATGTCTACGATCTCTTTCTCACGTTAGGCGGTATATTAAGGTAAGTAATGTTGACGTTAGGCGTAGAGTGTTGGGCAAAGAAGGAAAATCAATCGAAGAGGCTATAAAGTTACACAGATTGAGATGGCTAGGTGACGTGCTGCGCATGCCTAACCATCGCCTCCCCCGACGGACGGGCATTACTAGCTGATATAGGTAGGTGCAGGTTGGAAAAGAGTAAGTGGTGGCCAAACAAAAACATGGCCTCATCAATCCATGAAATCCCTGACAGTTAAACTGAGTCAGGTAGGGATGGAGATGCAGACTTCCGGGTTGGGGCCCGCCCTCGGGACTCTAAGAATCAATGGCTGGAGACAATAGGTGACATGGCTCAAAATCGTTGTCAATGGCTTACGCAGATGTATTCAGTCTCTTGGGTAATCTTTCATATTCCTTTCTACCATTACTCATTCTGTTTCACTCTTATACTTGTCAAAACTCTATTGATTCTCTTCACTCATCTTCTCCTTGTCTACCTTTGTGTGCTATTTGGAACGTGGCAACTTGAACTGATGCACTTCGGTGACAAGTTCTATGTTGATTCCAGACAGACAGAGACAGTTGGAGAATCACTGAAAACCTCCAGGAAGGAGAGTACTGGAAAGTTGTTTCATCCTAGTTCAGGAATCATTGGCAGTATGTACCCACTGCCAGGGTCAAACAATCTAAGACGACTTTCCTTTCCGAATTTAAGTTATGGGGCTTATCTGGTCATTCAATGAGATATGGACACATCTAACTGATGACTTCTGAGTGAAATGAAATCACCCATTATGAACTTCACTACTAACACTAACTGACTGACTGACTGAATACGTTTCAACATAGAGCTTCTCACAGAAGTTGAAGTAGTTCTAGTTGTCCAACTCTATATACAACACACAAAGGTAGACAACAGAAGACAGAGGGAGAGGGAGAGAGGAAACAATCTCAAAAGAACTATAGTGCGCAACGGAATACTGCAGAAAGAATAAGAATAACATGGAGAAATATGAATACTTAGTGAATCTGTGAGATTACAAGGCGTATAAATGCATCTACGCCATTGGCAGCGGGGTGAGGGGAAGCGGTGGTTAAGTTTTAGTCATATTGTGGTGAGAGCTGTCTGCTAGCCAAAACTTGGTAGACAGTAATCTATTATTGTTCCCTTGGGTTCCTAGAGGAACATTGAGCTTCAACTACACGTCTCCACTTGCTTCTGTCTTGTGCTGTATTTTTCACTTGCATCCATGTTAATCCATACTGTTTCAACTCCTCTTCACACGATCTCCTCCATGTCACCCTAGCACTGACATCCCACTCTCCGCTTCCCTTTCAGGTTCCACTCGAGCACTGGCCTGACTCGCGATGTCACCCAGCGGCCTCCTCAGCGAGTGTCCAATCCATCTCCACTTTCTCCTGCATATTTGTTGGGTGATCGGTTCTTGTTTTGTTTGTTCCCATAGCTTCTTGTTGATGATTCTTTCCGGCGGCCATCTGATCTTCAGTATAGAACGAAGACAGTTGTTGTTGATAAAGGTCTGCAACAGGCTGTTGAAAATATTCTTGGTGACCCGCCCAATTTCTGCTGATCCGTATAGAAGAACTGACTGACTTGACGTTTGTATTGAAAATCCGAATTTTGTTGTTAATGCAGGCTGAGTGACGAAGATTTCCAGATTGGTTTCAGGTTGATGAATGTGTTTCTCGCCTTCCCGATTCTCGATTTGACATCCTCGTCCGTTCCTCGTGTAGTTGAGACAATGCTCCCTAGATAAGTGAATGAAGTAACCTCTTTCAAATCCCTTCCGTTGACGGTGATTGGTGGTGGATGTTGCTGCTGTTGTTATTGTTGTTGGTTGGTTGGTTATTTTCAAAACCTCCGTATTGTCTATGTTCACCTGGAGTCCTGTCTTCGCTGGCTGCTTCTTCGACCAGTTTGTCGGTTTTCGCTTGTAATTCTTCGATTTTGTGTGACAACAAACATAAATCATCCACGCGCGAAATCCAGGTCTTCTAGGTTCTTCATGTCG